TATATAGGCATATATGTGCATGACATTAAAAAAATGAAAGCTTTTTGGAAATTATTAATTAACCTGGCAATTTGAAAGAATTATATATTCTCCAGTTTTGAACAACATATGTCTATACTTTTGCACTCTGGTGTTGCTGTGCAAGTGTGGCAACAAGCCGCCTTTCGCCGGCACCCCTCTTTGGTGGCTGATTAAAATTGGCCGCCTGATATTGGGGACTTGTATATAGGCATATATGTGCATGCATGACATTAAAAAATGAAAGCTTTTTGGAAATTATTAATTAACCTGGCAATTTGAAAGAATTATATATTCTCCAGTTTTGAACAACATATATGTCTATACTTTTGCACTCTGGTGTTGCTGTGCAAGTGTGGCGACAAGCCGCCTTTCGCTGGCACTCCTCTTTGGTGGCTGATTAAAGTTGGCCGCCTGATATTGGGGACTTGTATATAGGCATATATGTGCATGACATTAAAAAAATGAAAGCTTTTTGGAAATTATTAATTAACCTGGCAATTTGAAAGAATTATATATTCTCCAGTTTTGAACAACATATATGTCTATACTTTTGCACTCTGGTGTTGTTGTGCAAGTGTGGCGACAAGCCGCCTTTCGCCGGCACCCCTCTTTGGTGGCTGATTAACAAATTGGTCGCCTGATATTGGGGACTTGTATATAGGTATATATGTGCATGACATTAAAAAAATGAAAGCTTTTTGGAAATTATTAATTAACCTGGCAATTTGAAAGAATTATATATTCTCCAGTTTTGAACAACATATATGTCCATACTTTTGCACTCTGGTGTTGCTGTGCAAGTGTGGCGACAAGCCGCCTTTCGCCGGCACCCCTCTTTGGTGGCTGATTAACAAATTGGCCGCCTGATATTGGGGACTTGTATATAGACATATGTGCATGACATTAAAAAAATGAAAGCTTTTTGGAAATGATTAATTAACCTGGCAATTTGAAAGAATTATATATTCTCCAGTTTCGAACAACATATATGTCTATACTTTTGCACTATGGTGTTGCTGTGCAAGTGTGGCGACAAGCCGCCTTTCGCCGGCACCCCTCTTTGGTGGCTGATTAACAAATTGGCTGCCTGATATTGGGGACTTGTATATAGACATATGTGCATGACATTAAAAAAATGAAAGCTTTTTGGAAATGATTAATTAACCTGGCAATTTGAAAGAATTATATATTCTCCAGTTTTGAACAACATATATGTCTATACTTTTGCACTCTGGTGTTGCTGTGCAAGTGTGGCAACAAGCCGCCTTTCGCCGGCACCCCTCTTTGGTGGCTGATTAACAAATTGGCCGCCTGATATTGGGGACTTGTATATAGACATATGTGTGCATGACAAAAAAATGAAAGTTTTTTTGAAATGATTAATTAACCTGGCAATTTGAAAGAATTATATATTCTCCAGTTTTGAGCAACATATATGTCTATACTTTTGCACTCTGGTGTTGCTGTGCAAGTGTGGCGACAAGCCGCCTTTCGCCGGCACCCCTCTTTGGTGGCTGATTAACAAATTGGCCGCCTGATATTGGGGACTTGTATATAGACATATGTGCATGACATTAAAAAAATGAAAGCTTTGTGGAAATGATTAATTAACCTGGCAATTTGAAAGAATTATATATTCTTCAGTTTTGAACAACATATATGTCTATACTTTTGCACTCTGGTGTTGCTGTGCAAGTGTGGCGACAAGCCGCCTTTCGCCGGCACCCCTCTTTGGTGGCTGATTAACAAATTGGCCGCCTGATATTGGGGACTTGTATATAGGTATATATGTGCATGACATTAAAAAAATGAAAGCCTTTTGGAAATTATTAATTAACCTGGCAATTTGAAAGAATTATATATTCTCCAGTTTTGAACAACATATATGTCTATACTTTTGCACTCTGGTGTTGCTGTGCAAGTGTGGCGACAAGCCGCCTTTCGCCGGCACCCCTCTTTGGTGGCTGATTAACAAATTGGCCGCCTGATATTGGGGGCTTGTATATAGGTATATATGTGCATGACATTAAAAAAATGAAAGCTTTTTGGAAATTATTAATTAACCTGGCAATTTGAAAGAATTATATATTCTCCAGTTTTGAACAACATATATGTCTATACTTTTGCACTCTGGTGTTGCTGTGCAAGTGTGACGACAAGCCGCCTTTCGCCGGCACCCCTCTTTGGTGGCTGATTAAAATTGGCCGTCTGATATTGGGGACTTGTATATAGGCATATATGTGCATGACATTAAAAAAATGAAAGCTTTTTGGAAATTATTAATTAATCTGGCAATTTGAAAGAATTATATATTCTCCAGTTTTGAACAACATATATGTCTATACTTTTGCACTCTGGTGTTGCTGTGCAAGTGTGGCGACAAGCCGCCTTTCGCCGGCACCCCTCTTTGGTGGCTGATTAACAAATTGGCCGCCTGATATTGGGGACTTGTATATAGGTATATATGTGCATGACATTAAAAAAGTGAAAGCTTTTTGGAAATTATTAATTAACCTGGCAATTTGAAAGAATTATATATTCTCCAGTTTTGAACAACATATATGTCTATACTTTTGCACTCTGGTGTTGCTGTGTAAGTGTGGCGACAAGCCGCCTTTCGCCAGCACCCCTCTTTGGTGGCTGATTAAAATTGGCCGCCTGATATTGGGGACTTGTATATAGGTATATATGTGCATGACATTAAAAAAATGAAAGTTTTTTGGAATTTATGATTCATATAACCTTGCAATTTGAGGGAATTTGATTAATTGGGGACTACAGTTATTGACATTATATCGATATATGAATAATATAAAAATATTTAAGTGTTTAGAAATTATTAGGTATAAAAACTCATATGAAACATTAACCTAGAAATTTGAAAGAATATTATTCAGTCTAAATCTCAGTGGCAGTGTGTATTAATTTTATTTATTATTTTATATCATACTACTGTATATTGTTTATTGTATATTATACTATATGTGGTTTTGGCATTTCCTTACTCAAATAATAACCATGTATAAGTGTTATGTTAGAGCACACCCAAACCGGGGGCTGAATTAAGGGATATAATAAATGTAGTTCACTCTGCAACATTAATTTCTAATTATATGTTCCTTCTATTTATCTAGGAAAGTTACTGTAAGATGTAGACAGCTTCGTGTCAAGCAAAGACCCAAAAGAATTGCCATTTCTTGTAATGGTTGTCTGGCGACCGTTGAATGCAATTTCTCAAATCTTTATTGTCGCTGACTTGCTGGTACTTTTTCGAGTTAAGGTTGTAATTGTGGAACTGATGGCATGAACTCACATTCTCTTTTCGAGAGGAGGTTAATTAATGAAATTAGGAATGACATATACTAAGTAATATGAACTGAATAAAATCTGAACTCAGTAGGAGAGGGCAATTGCTCTTGTATTGTATATGCAGTAGGTATCGTTTATAACTCATTGCAGTATTTGCATCAGTTTGGTTCGAATGTTGCATCTTTACTCTGAACGGAGTGCGTACAACCATGCATGCATGTATTGTAGGTCAAAATCACTTTGTTTGTTACCACTGTGTATGCTAATTTTAATTTGTTCTATATATTGGTAGAATACATTATTTTCACTGACACAGTTGTGTTGAGATGACTATATAGTATCTGACTTTATATTATTTCTTTCAGTCATGGCCTTACTCGGAACAATGAGTAAAAAGGTACTCAGCTCGCTGAGAAAAAGGAGAATGTTTAAAGATTTGAGTAGTTTTGTACTCGTTGTTTTGAGTAAGGCACTCTTCTTTTACTCACTGTGAGTAAATATCGCACTTTACTCACGTTTTAGGTGTCACTGGGAATGGATTTTGGTTTACTCAGAAACTTGAGTAAAATTTTACTCATTGTTTTGCGTAAAACCTGCAGTTTACTCACTGTGAGTAAAAATCGCATTTTACTCACGTTTTAGATGTCACTGGGAATGCATTTTGTTTTACTCAGAAATTTGAGTAAAATTTTACTCATTGTTTTGCGTAGAACCGGTAGTTTACTCACAGTGAGTAAAAATCGCACTTTACTCACGTTTTAGGTGTCACTGTGAATGCATTTTGTTTTACTCAGAAATTTGAGTTATTTTTACTCAAACTTTGTGTGTCACTGTGAATGCATTTTTTTACTCAAATATTTGAGTTGATTTTACGCAAGGATTTTTGCAGTGT